CCTGATGTTTCGAAAAATGCTAAGTTCATCTGGTCGAGTCAACAGAAAACAGATAAAAATCTTTACTGTAGAAGGTCATTGGTTTCAGAGTGCAATGAAGGCAAGTGAGATTTATGAGCTCTACTTGAAATGTTCACATTTGAATAAGCTAGGTTTTGCATTGGCATAAATCATAATTAATAGAGGGGAATGGTTTGGAAATCTTTTGTTGTACTTTTTCTGTACATCTTCTGTATGTATTTTGAGATTGAATCAGTAAGATCGTGGACAACTTTTCTCTTACGGACGATGGAAATTGCAAAATGAGTGAACAAAACTACCCTCTATGAGATTATGAAATGAAATATTTCAATATTGGCTAAAAGTTTTTCTGATTTTTTTTCTGTTCATTGAGATGTAACCAGTATGGATAAAACAATAGTTAAAAAAAAGATTGTGCAAGGTCACGCTTGGAAAAAGTGCACAAAAACTTACAACAAAAGTCTTCCTAGCCATTTCCCTTTTCAAACTATGCATAAATGGAGTACTCCGTTTGGACATGTGTTTYAATTTGCCTTCCCCGTGGGCATCTCTTAAAGCTGGCTTCCTCTGTTCCCTTAGTAAGATGCGAACGAGACTATGTTTTACCCAAATGTGTGAATACAAGGATATCTGATCCGTCGCTTTTTACGATTTCCACGTGTTTTTTTTTTCAAGAAGAATTTAGAAGAATAAGACAAAATCAATACAGTAATTCCTTCAACAGAATGCTATTCCTAAAGATTGAGCAATGCAATGACTACCTCCTTAACACTGAAATCCCGCAATTTTTTTCCTTTGCTCTGTTTTAGAACGTCATCGATTTTTCAAGTCGACTGAGGAATGGAAAAACAAAGTCTATAGTGGATCCATAATGTTGACAGCAGCAACAACGAGCACACTGGAATGTGCATTGAAATGCTTGGGAACCCCAGAATGTGGATCTTTTAACTACGAATTTTTAAGGAARGAAGTTCAAAAATGTGAACTAAAYCGAGGCAAGAGCTCATCACACATTAATTTGGTGTCTCGGACCGGTTTTCAATATTTTGAAATAATTAAGGCTGGATATTAGTCAAAGTGCTTTGTTAATTTCTCAGTGACAGAAGATTTTCATTATAATATATTTGCCTGTTGATACGAGTGGCAGAAGAATCATCAAAACTTCAAAGTACATTTATGTATAGATCAAATCAGCTTTTTTTGAGTTGGTCACAGTCCATAATGACAAAAATGACGTCTCAGAAAGTAGAAAGAGCAAGTTGATAGTACTCGAATACAAGTTTCAACTTTCTTGCGTGCGTAACTCAAAAAACTTATAAAGATGGTAACGAATAATACATCAAACATTTTCTAAAGAAACACATGAAAAAACTAGTGGTGATAAGAAAATTGTATTAGTTACCTGTATTGCCATATATGCCATATTTCAAGACTGCTTTTTCTATTTCTTGACCTCATTTTAACCATTTTGTTTTAGTTCATTGATAATCGCTCGTGGATTTAAGTTATAGGGCTAAAAACGTGAGGACTTTCTGTAAGAATCAAAAACTTAACATAATTAATGAGTTACTAGGACAATGTATATCTGATAAAATCGTTTTATGGAATGGCACTCCATTATCAGATGTAAAGATCCTTTACCCTAGCGAAGGTCTCAGGTTTGATGCCTGATCATTGACCAYTGCATACACAACAGCCACCAGYGGTTCTATTTTATTTTACGCGTATTCATTGTGGGATGACAATAGTGCATTGTAAAGTAATTCGCGCATGATCAGTTTGCCCCATTTATCTCAAAACTTATTTTTACAGCAATTTCTCCAAGAATATTAACGGATTCGAGTATCAAGTTAGTGTTGGAGTTTTGGAATCCGTTTAAAACACTCTCTCTCGTGTTTTAAACTATACCGTATAGTTTAAAGCACTATCTACACTTATCCGTATCTGCCTGTATAAGACACAATGGTATCCTGAATAACAGTGTAGATTCAGAGATCATACCATCGACCACGACCAACACCGAGAACGCAATTTTATTAGATCTTGTTTAATGCTTGATAATTTAGTAAAAAGAGCTGAATCATTTGTATGGTGAGCAAGCTCTGGAACCTATCTTTAATTAACTAAATAGTTTTACCAGCACTATT